CCAATTCCCCCTAAACAATTTTTAACTGATTTCATATATCGAACACTAAGTAGTGAATTAGAATATGGTGAAATATTGAAAGTAAAAGTCAAATCTTGAAAAGCTATATTTTCTACATTTGTGCCCAAGAATTTTTTAAATTATTTTTTCTCTGTTCTATAAACAGTCCTCAATAATGTATACTTAAAATGAAAACTAAAAAAATTGCATATCAGAAATTGGAAAAACGAAAAATTAAAAAATTGAAAAAAATTGAAAAATCGAAAAGCTGAAAAAACGACAAATTGCAAAATCAAAGAAGTGGAAAATGGAAAAATTTCAAAACAAACGAAAAATTAAAATACTGGAAAACTAAAAAATCGAAAAAACTAATGAATAGAAAAATTAGAAAGAAGAAAAAACAAACGAATCGAATCGAAAAATTCTAAAACCAGAAACTGTAAAATCGAAAAAAATCTTCAAACTGTAAGTTGAAAAAATGAAATATCCAGAAATTGAGAAATTCGTATCTAGAAATTGAAAATTCCAATGAATGAAAATGTTTTAAAAACCAATATATATATCTGAAAAATTCTAAAATTGAAAAAAACAAAAAAATTGGATAAGCGAAAAACTGGGAAAGCGACAAATTGCACATTAAAAAAAATGGAAAATGGGAAAATTTAAAATCAAACGAAAAATTGAAACACTGAAAAAATAAAAATCAACAAACTTAAAAATCGAAAAATTCGGAAGAAGAAAAAATAAGCGAGCGAATCGAAAAACTGTAAAATTGAAAAAGTGGAACACTGAAATATGGAAAAATTGAAAAATAAAATGTCGAGAAAAAGAAATTAAAAATCTAAAAATTGAAAACTGGAATAAATAAAAAGTTTAAAAATCCAATATTTGAAAAATGGAAACATTCTAAAATCATAAAATTGAAAAAGTATTTTTTTTAATTTATACTCTTAATTGTTATATATTCAAAATAAAAACTAAAAAAATTGCATATCAAAAATTGAAGAAACGAAAAATCGAAATTGAAGATTCTAAAAGTGAAAAAACGAAACTTAAAAAATAACAAAAAATTGGCATCGAAAAGCTGAAAAAACGACAAATTACAAAATCAAAGAAGTGGACATTGGGAAAATTTCAAATCAAACAAAAAATTGAAACACTAAAAAACTAAAAATCGACAAACTTAAAAATTGAAAAACTAATGAATCGAAAAATTCGAAAGAAAACAAATGAATCGAATCGAAAAATTGAAAAACCCAAAAATTGTAAAATCGAAAAATTATAGTATCTTTAAAACTGTAAAGTTAAAAAAATGGAACACTGAAAGATGGAAAAATTGAAAAATTAAATGCACAGAAATTGAGAAATTCAAAATCTAAAAATTGAAAATTCCAATGAATGGAAATATTTTAAAAACCAATACATATTTGAAAAATATGTATTGGTTTTTAAAAAAAGTTGGTTGTGCTTGAGTACCTGTTGGAAACAAAGTTTATTTATTTATTAAAAAATGGAAATTTTCTAAAATCGTGATATTGAAAAGTGAAAAATTTGAAAAGACTCAAAATCCTAAAATTGAAAAAAACAAAAAAATTGCAAAATCAAAAAAGTGGAAAATGGGAAAATTTTAAATCAAACGAAAAATTGAAACACTGAAAAACTAAAAATCAACAAACTTAAAAATCGAAAAAACTAATGAATCGAAAAATTCGAAGGAAGAAAAAATAAGCGAACGAATCGAAAAACTGTAAAATTGAAAAAATTGAACACTGAAAGATGGAAAAATTGAAAAATCGAATAAATAAAAAAGTTTAACAAGTCCAATATTTGCAAAATGGAAATATTCTAAAATCATAAAATTGAAAAAGTGATTTTTCTTAATTATACTCTTAATTGTTATATATTCAAAGTGAAAACTAAAAAAATTGCATATCAAAAATTAAAGAAATGAAAAGTCGAAATATTGAAATTGAAGAATCTTAAAATTGAAAAAATGAAAAATTAAAAAACTTGGAAAATCGAAAAGCTGAAAAAACGAGAAATTGCAAAATCAAAGGAGAGGACATTGAGAAAATTTCAAATGAAACAAAAAACTTAAAAATTGAAAAATTAAAAAAAAAAAACAAATGAATCGGAATTGAAAAATTGAAAACCCCAAAAATTGTAGAATCTTTAAAACTGTGAAGTTGAAAAAATGGAACACTAAAAGATGGAAAAACTGAAAAATTAAATATCCAGAAAATTAGAAATTAAAAATCTGAAAATTGAAAAATCTAATAAATGATAAAAAGTTTTAAAATCCCATATTTGAAAAATGGAAAAATTTTAAAATCGTAAACTTGAAAAACTGAAAAAATTTTAAAATTATGCTCCTAATTGTTATATATTTAAAATGAGAACTAAAAGAATTACACATCAAATATTGAGGAAACGAAAAATCGAAATTGAAAAATCTAAAATTGAAAAAAAGAAAAATTAAAAAATCTAGAAAAATATGGAAAATCGAAAGCTGAAAAAACGACAAATTGCAAAATCAAAGAAGTGGAAAATGGGAAAATTTCATATCAAACGAAAAGTTGAAACACTGAAAAACTAAAAATCGACAAATATAAAAAATCAAAAAACTAATGAATCAAAAAATTCGAAAAAAAACAAACGGATAGAATAGAAAAATTGAGAAACCCAAAAACTGTACAATCTAAAAATTACAGAATCTTCAAAAATGTAAAGTTGAAAAAGTGGAACACTGAAAGATGGAAAAGTTGAAAAATATCGAGAAATTTAGAAACTAAAAATCTAAAGAAGCATTGAAAAATCGAAAAACTGAAAAAACGACAAATTGCAATTAAACGAAAAATTAAAACATTGCATTGATTAATAAGACATTTATAAATTATAAACAAAAAGAAAACAACAAAAGAAAAATCCATTGAATCCTAGCCAACTAATTCCTGCCTTCTGTATATGAAAGCTAGTCATGTTTTCAAATTTTTATAATTTTTTGTAAAAGTTAGTCATCAGTACTTGCTACGATAAAACTGATTTTGGCAAATGACATATCCTGTAAGAAAAGGGAGGGGCGGTGGGCGGGGCTAGTACTTGCTAAGGTAAAACTGATTTTGTCCAATCACATAACATCCAAGAAAACAGAGGGTGGGTGGGCGGCGCTAGTACCTTCTAAAATAAGACCGATTTTGGCAAATGACATACTCTCCAAGAAAAAAGAGGGTGGGTGGTACCTGTTAAGACTAATTTTAACAAATGACGTATTCTCTAAGAAATTTAATTAAATTATTATAAGAAAAGACACTAGAGGCTTCAAAGCACATTCAAATTATTTCCAAACAGGAATACCTACAACCTCAAGATTGTTTTAAAATTTTCAAAAAAAGAACGGGGTCCCAAAATGAACTCAAAAACACCAAAGTTCCCCAAAATTCTTTCAAATAATTTATAAAAAAAGTATCCATGGTCTTCCCACTGCGGTATTCAAGACTTTTTCAAATTCGCAAAAAGTAAAACACTAAAAGCTCAAAAGAAGAAGACAAAATTGAAAAAACGAAAAATTAAAAAATTCGAAAATTGAAAAATTTGGCTTTAAAAAAGAAAAATTATTACAAACTCCAAACAAAAATTTGCTTTTGTAAAGTTATATAATTCTGGTAGGAACTATTTACCAATTCTTTGTCTTTAGGTTTGAATATCGGTATGTCAATTTCTAACGTAGGATGATAATCATCTTCTGTTAGACGTGTGTTTCTCGTATTTAGTAACCTTAGTATCCTGTTTGTTGTCGAATACCAAATACAATAATCTATCCATTTTGTTCATAACTGAATTCAATTCCATTAAATTAAAAAACCACATAAACAATGAATAATAATGAAAGACTGAAGAATTTGGTAGCTAATAGGACCAATTTATAAATTCAGGAAAAGTAAAATTACCTAAGATAAGCAAATCAGAACCATACAGACGGTAGACAGTAATGATTCAAAAAAATGTTAGTTTATTTTTTAGCTGAAAGTATTTTAATAGGTAGATTACATTGAGTAGAATCAGTACAAATGTGCATATTTAGATTAGTTAAATAAGAAAACAGTTTGACTTTTTCCAGGTAGGGTCTAACAAGAAAAAAGGACTGTTGATTTTCAAGTCGAACTTTAATTTTGTTAAAATCCCCCAGCATTAAGCTTGAAGCAATCTATTTTTACAATTTTAAAATTTGACCATCCTTAACATTCGTTGAATCAAAGATTAAGATTTGTGCACATTAGTCTAACTGAAATATCGAATCCACATTAACATCTCCAGAAACACCTAGAGTGTATTCCTCTTTTGTTGCCTTCTCTTAAAACATCCTTTTATAACATTGAAAATAGCTGATGTGACGTCTCTACAGAAGTATCTAGTAATTTTGAGGTAAGTATAATCAGTGAGTTGAGATAAAATCCTGTATTAAGGACCAACAGTGACTAGTTTTCCCTAGTTTACTTAAATGATTATTTGAAAAAAAGGTCCTGACGTGATGGAAACGAATGGTTAAAAAAATGGAAATCTTACTGAGACGTACGTGTTATTAATCGTGTTATTAATTTCCATCTAGAAATCGAATCAATTGATCTTTATTAAAAAAAATAATAATAAAAGCTGCACCTGCAGTGCAATTTCAGTGCTTACGATGAATTCTCGTAAATCTACAACGTCCTTCCTGCTCCGTTGATAACTCCAGTCTCGTTGTAATTTAAACCAACACACGTAACACCCAATCCCATTACTTTGCTAAATCAATCAAACGGCGAAAAAGTCGATACGCCGCAAAACGCCTCGACTTTCCCTAATTTTTTCATCCAAAGCGCTGCCGTATTTTTCGAATTCCTGCACCACTCACGCCAGCCCACATCCCGCAATTACTACCATTTCCCGAGAAACCGTTAAACAGCAGGAACGGCGCGAGTCCGGCAGCAGCAGCGGCAGCGGCAGGGCGTGTCCACTTTTACTATCTCAATTCCTGCGAAGGGTTCGTCGCTCGACCCAGCATCCAAGTCTCCTTCCGAGCGCTCGCGATCCTGCGGCCGCCGCATCGAACCAGGAACTGGTCAGTCCACCCAAGAAAACGGTATCAAGTGAGGTCCATCCGCAAAACACTTTCGATCTCGAGACAGCAGAACTAGAGCAATATCTTGTATAAGCCGCTAGATATCGAGAGCTGCGGACCAGTGCTCAGTCGGACGTCGGTGGGAACGCACGCTTAGCGCTTTTCGCGATCCTGCACACGTGTGTACCATCAGAGTACCATCGGACCATGAGATGGTAGTGCGTCTTGTGCCGGCGTCGGATTCTCGCAGTGACTAAAGTGTCGGATTTTCAGTGAGTGGAGATGGGATTTGTGCTCCTGCTGAAATTTTGAAAAGTGTTTGTGAATACGTACGGAGTAAGGTCAGTACAATTGTAACCTTCGGAGATTAATTAATTAGCTGCTAATTAAGATGGCTGAGTGATGACACCGTGTGAAACATCGCTGAAAAAGCTCGACAAGGAATGGCCGATCTATTATCCTTTTACAACCAAAGTGTCGTAAATTGCGTCTAACAAGCGTAATAACCACTTAAAGACTCTTTAATTGCTCGACTGACGCTTAGCGACGTTTCAGCGAATTTCTTCATTATTCGACGCGAAACTGAAACCGAAAACCCAATTTTACGAGAAACCTGAAGTCGGAAAGCCGACTTTTCACATTTGTAAAACAGCCGGGGTCATTATGAGGACGATTTAAGTCGGAGTGTAATTCCACACTTTCGGTTAAGGTTAAAGGTGCCTCGGAACACTTGGAATAAAAATAAATGAAGTGTTTGTTGAAGAAATCGTGTTGGTACGAGCTGGTTAATTGTAACACCTGTTGTTGAGTCGGTTCATAATTGAGCATAAATCATCAGAGCTCGAGAAAAACAGTTTTCTTTTTGTTGTTTAATTGCGATTTTCGTTGTGCGAGAGACGTAGTGAATTTTTGCAAGATTTTGAGGCTTAGTTCGAGTGGATGGCGGACAGGTGGCGCTTGAGCTTTGTGTGCTTTAGCGACGATTTTAATCTGATTTTAAAGGCCAAGTTTCGCTTCAGAAAGCCGAAAATTAGAATCTTAGGAAATTTTATGAAATTTTCAGAATTGGCCATTTTAAGAAAATTAATACTAGTAGAACGATATTACAGACAAATCTAATTTTATTTAATATACTGAAGTGTACCTTCAACATGTCAGGCTAAGTTTAATAGAATGAGCTTTTGCGTTGTATTGTATTATAATTTTCGAATTTTCTTCTTACATATGTATCTACATTTTGTTGTTACAAGGTCAAGTTTTTAGCTGTAATTTTAAATTGTTTTATTTTTCAAGAAAATGAAACTCCTGAACCGGTCAGTTTTTCGTGTTTATAAATTTTTATTTGTACTAAATTATTTAGATTGTCTTAAATAACGCCCCCTTCAGAGAATTTAATTTTACTCATTCTTACTGTAACAAAAATGTTCTTGAAAATAAGGTATTAGTAAATAATAGGAGTAAGTTTTTTCTAAAATGATTTAAGTGGTTCTGATTAACTGTGACATAAAAAGAAGCTGATTTTTGGAAATTATTTTGTGTTTTCCCTCGTTTTAAATGTATAGAATTGTCTTAATGACAAGTCTACTTTGAATAAGTTCCAAAACTTATTTTTTTTTTTTTAATTCTGGAGAGTTTAAAAATTTCCTGAAAGCACTGTTAACTGAAATTTCGGTCATTTTTCATCAAACTGAGTTTCTCTGTTGCAAAATCATTTGTTCAAAAGTTTTTTAATGAATTATTGAAACCCTGAAATTGTTTATTTAATTTTCTTACATAATTACAAATGAAATTTAGAATTCGTAAAAATAATAAAATAAAGGATTAATTTGATTTTAGACTAGAACCTTACGCTTCTAAGAAAAATTATCTCTTTTTAAATTTTTAGGAATTATTTTGTGTATGTAAGAATTTAATTCCAATTTAGATCCATGTTTATCCTCGTTTTAAAGGCATAGAATTAAAAAAGTCCACTCTGAGTAAGTTGCAAAACTTAAAAGTTCTTTTTTTTTTAATTCTGGAGAGTTTAAAAATTTCCTTTTCTGAATAAAAATGTTAAATTCAAATTTAGTTAAAATTTAAATCAGTTTAAAGAATTAATTTAATTTTCGACTAGAACGTTGGAAAATGTAAGAGCTGAACTTTTAACGAACAGCGTAGCTGCCTATAAGGACTGCCCATATTGTTCTAGTTTTCTCTTCTCCTCGCCAATCGCCTGAACCTTTTTTGCCTCCCGTATCTGTGCCATCGAGTCAAGGTCCGTTGAAAATTTCAATTTTCGTCGACAGACTCCGATTTTCCGCTTCTTGAGCATCGTCCGAACGAACGATTAGCGTAGAAAGCGAGTATCCTCTAATCAAGTAGGCCGATGTCACAGCCACAGCCGTCTCCGATACGTCCGCCCGCAATCCGCCACGGAAAAAATTGCATCAAGTCGAAAGCCATCAGTCATCATTAGTGGTCTATTCGAAAAGCTGGAACGATGCTATTTTGTAACCGCCTCAATACCACCGTGCAAATACGACGGCGAAATTTACATGAAAAGAACGCATTTCTCATAGTTATAAAGACGTTGTTGCGACACTGGATAAACGACGAACAATACGGTTGCCTCACTGGGAGGATCGATCTGATACGGACGAAAACACAATACGAGCCGGCTTTCTGAGATTTTCGGACACTTACATGCGCCCCCGCGGGTCGAACACATACATTTCGGTCCTTCGAGCCGGATTCTCTTGCACATTGCTCCTTCGAGCCGGATCGTTAATTACCCGTTGCGCCACCGCCCGCACGTTTCGGTCGCTTATGGCTCGTGCCGTCCCGCGTCACGTGCGACCCGCGACCCGTGACGTCAGCCACCCCATTGCCCCATCGTTCTTTCACCTGCTGTCGCAAGCCCCCGCGGAGCGTCGTTTAATTGCTTTCCTGGCACACGACAATAATGCAGCAATTATCGTCCTGCAGCCTCAGCGCCGCAACCTTGCTCCACAAACTCCAAGTGTAATGGCTCGTTAGTGGTATTGTTGGGTTAATGTTGCGTTACGTAACAATGGCGGGAAAAATCCGATGGGTTCCGAGCAGATAGCGGCGGCGAATTGGGCAAGTGCGTTATTGTTTTGGGGTAATTAAAAGGTGATCGGATGGTTCAGGGTCGGACGGCGGCTGCGCGGCTACCGGGAGGGTGCGGGCTTTCTAATTAAAGCGTTTGGAGGATTATGGGTGTGGAAAGCCCGGATGGGTGCTGATTTATGGCGCAGAAAACAAACTAATTTGAAAAGTCCAGATTTCGCAAGTCAGCTTTTACGTGGCGTCATTAGAGAGCGAAACGTGCGAGACACCTCTGCAGGATTGGAAGAGCACGAAAGCTCGCCGGTGGCGCAACCTTTGCAGGAATAATTAAGTCGAGTTTGGTCGTGAAAAGCTCCCGTTGGTTTATGCGTGACCATGATTTTGCTATTAAATCAATTAGTGAAATGTTGTGCAAAAACGAGAAGGATATAGGCAGCTTTCGGGGAGTTAGCAAAAATAACGATTTGAGATTTTAATATTTTTTTAAGTTAAATTGCCAAAAGGTAAAAAATTGAAAATTATTGTTTTAATCAAATAAAAACAACGTTTTTACAATTACTATGAATCGTTTTAAAACTTGAACAAGAATTATTAGAAGGCATTTTAAAACTTGAACAAGAATTATTAGAAGGCATTGTTAAAATTTTATTTTAAATTACTAACAAACTAAGGGATTCCTCGTATCTTAAATTTGATATTGATATCCTGTTGTAAACTAGCAAAATTTTGCATTTCTAATGAGTGTATTTACATTGTAGTGAAATTACTGATGGCAAAGAAAGATTAAAACTACGAACTATGCGTACCTACCTAAACGAAGGAATGGGGCAATAATTCCATTATTATTTAACATGTTAAAGTTTGATATAGTAATATTTATCTAAACTGACAACAAAATAAACAAAATGAGTGTAATCTTAGAAGAGAGTGGAAAAATGACTGAAAAAAATTATCAACATCGGAACACAAATATTACCTTGCGAAGATTTGAAAATAAACGAAGACAAACTGCATTTTGTGTCAAGCTAAAACAAATACAAAAGTAGATATCGTGATAAAATAGAAAAAACTAAAGCTTATTTGTGAATACTGAAACTTAAAAATGTTTAGAACCGCTGCCTAATTAAATTTATCGAACATAATTTAAGTTATCAGATTTAAACATATATACAGGAATTGTATGCAGGTTAAATTTAATATTTACGTGTTATTTAGTTTAATCCTAAATTAGACTTTTAAGTTCCTGGAAGCACAAGAGTAAATTCAGAGGTGCCATTTTAATTTTTTTTTTTTTTTATTCTAAATTTTATTTTTTATTTACTTTGTTTTCTGAAGGAAGAAAACACAAAAAATAAAGAAACAATATGATAGTAAAACTTGAAAGTATAAAGAAGTCTTAAATTTTTCTATAGTGTAGTGTCGAGAACTTGAAATTCGTGAATTCTTTTTTGAAAATTAATTAATATTTTAGAACCGGATTTATAACATGAGGAGGAACCCGGAAACAGTTATTTTTGTTAAAAGTGCCTAAAATACAGTTTTTACGGACAAATTGTTGCTATTTATGGCTCCAAAATAGCTCATGAAACCGCAAAAACTTTTTTAGACATTTATTAGTTAGAGCAGCAACGATTAGTTCGTAAAAATTGCATTTTAGTTACTAGTCCGAAAAATAACTATTTTTTGGATCGAGTCTGAAAAGGAGTCATTCTACGAACATACATGAGTCTGTAAAATAGCTATTTTTGGGACCAGATTTTTTAAGTTTTATGTTTTCGAAAGTATTCACATTTCAACGTTCAAAAATATTTCACAATTTATGGTAAAAAAAATTAAGCAACATATACAGGGTGAGTCACTCCTCAATAACTCATTAATTATGACTAAAGGCATAAAAAAGTTAGGTACGAACTTGACGAGTTCCTTGACTTTGACATTCGACTATGCAGAGTATTTTGTTTTTGGGTAACAGCACACAACTTAGTTTTTTTTATAGAACACCCTGTATATTTTTATATATTCTCATGCCTTACAATCAGAGTTTATTTTTGGAATTCCGATAGGACGTTGTCAAAGCTTCCTTTTATTCCAGTTTATGGAAATATAAATACAGTCTTAACATACATACATACTTTGTATGGAGTACACCCTGTATTTAATTACATGTCGTTGTGTCTCATATAAAAAATGCAATAACCATCAACTTCAAATATAGAAAATACTTGACAAAAAAGAAAGAGGGAAAAAGCAGAATGGTGGTAATAAAATACGA